TATGTACAACAGCCCTAAAACCTGCTCTGTCCCTTGCCAATCTTATTGATTCCGACATGCCTATCCCCATACCCCAGTGACTGAATCAATCCATTTCATTGAGGGTCTTCCTCTCCAGCACTGTCCCTCTACCCTCCCAAGCATGACGTCCGTCTCCAGGGACTGATCCCACCTTGAAGTATGTGCAGCGTATGTCAGACAAAGCTGCAGAATCCTTGCCTCCAAGGAGCAGCCTTGCTTCACCCTTTCCAGGACGAACTTGTTTGTTCTAGCCGTCATGGTATATTCAACACTTTTCTCCAGCACCACAGCTCAAAGGCATCTGCTCTCCTCCTATCATCCCTAGTCATTGTCCAGCTCTCTGAAGCATAGCAAGTCATTGCAAAGATCATGGCCTATATCAGGCGCACCTTAGTCTCCAGACTGACATCGTTACTCCTCAGTACCTTGGAGAGGTCTCTGACAGCAGACTTTCCCAATTCAGCCTTTTAATTTTCTGGCTGCTGCTACCAATAGTGTTGGTAGTATAACTAAGCAAACTGAAGCTGTCAACAATCTCAATCTCTTCATCATCCATCATAATGCCAATCAGCCCAGTGATGAGACTCTGTTTTCTTGATGTTGAGCTTCAATCCATATTAAAGGCTGCAGTCCTTGACCTTCCGCAGATAGCACTTCAGCCCCTCCTCATTTTCAGTAAGCAGGGTTGTGTTATCTGCATAACGCAGATTGTTGATGAGTCTACCTCCAGTCCTGATGCCACACTTCTCATAGATGCCAGCCTTCCGGATAATCTGTTCTGCATACAATTTTATAATTTGTATTAGTAATTTTTATACTATATATTATGTAATATGTATATGTTTAGTATTCATGCAGAATAAATCTATTAGAGAAACTTTTGAATCCTTTTGTTAGTAATTAATACTTAGCAAAATAAGTTTCTAGAGGTGTGAGTCGTTGATCATTGTTTTAGTGTTAAGTATGGTGTAGAAAAAGGAAAGCATTGGCATAACGGTCAAGATATCTATATTAGTCCTTTTTCTTTATTAGTAGCTCTGTTACTTAGAAATGGCTACATCTTTAAACCTGTTACTTCTAAGTGGTAAAATGCAGGAATCCCCCCCCCCAATCATTTTCATCTTCAGAGAGTCTAATTACTTTTTTAGGAAACCGTATTATTTATCTTACTTCACTAAGCACTAATTAAATGTTCATGTCTCTGTTTCAGACAAGATTCCTTTGCTAATAGAAGAAAAACTACCTGTGGTGGGAATTGGAAAACATCTGTGTGGTGTGGCAACAGGTATATAAACAGATTAATTAAAGCTAGACTAAGACTTTTACTCCCCCCCCCCCATATGTCCTTAACTATTTATGGCAGTGTAGTGGTAACATGGCCTTAACCATTTAAAGAACCTCTTTGGTTTAATTTAGATGCTCATGTTCACAATGCATTCATCTTCATGGTAGCACTTGTATAGTCATAAATATTGAGCTCTCTTATTGACTCGTTTTGCAGGAAGATTGGAGATTTTTGTGGGTAGATATTGTGTCATGTGAGACCTTAAAAGTGTTTTTTGTTACATGTCAACTGAAAAGGAAAATGAATAATTTACGGAGCCTATATGACTCCATCCAAGAAGCAACTGACTTTTTAAAGGTTTTGTTTGGAGATGACTCCAAACTTCTCCCAGTAGGCAATTTTTGTGTATCATGATGCTAGGATGTTTGCAAGGAACAAAAGAAATATTAGACGAGGATATTGTAAAATGCCTTCGGTTAAATTTTACATAGTAACAGATTTAGCATGTTGAAATGGAAAGACAATAGCTTTAAAATCAGATAGTCTCTGAATTTGGTTTTGTAATCTTGGCAGATTACTTAACCTTTCTCGACTTTGTTGTCGTGTAGTGGTGTAGGATAATAATAGATCATTTTTCTTGTCACATAATATTGGCATGTATTCAATCTTAGTAAGTTAATTTTTATTATTTCCTGGATCCTGCTAATATCATCATCCATATAGGCAAGATTTATATATATGTATATAAGCTATATATATGTTGTTATTTACTGTTAGTTGGAACCAGCCAATTTATAACTGACCCTCAGTGGGTTTTCAGAGGCCATAAGTTACACAGGAGGGTATTACCCATCTTTCTCCTGCAGAGCATGTGGTGCATTTGAAACATCTGCCCTTCAGTTGGCAGCACAATTTCTTAACAGTAAGCCACTATTTATAGCTATATATTTAGATATATTAATATTCCCACTACACTGTGAGGTTCTTTTTGGGCTTGGGTTTTATTTGGGTTTTGGTTTTGTTCTTGTATAGGTTAGTTAGGTTGTTAGGTACTGTCAAGTATAACCCATAGTGCCCCTGTGAACAACAGATCTGAACCTTGTTCTATCCCATGCCATCTTCACACTTCCTAACACATTAGAGCCAATTGCATCAATCTTCGTGTCAGTCCATCTGGTCAAGAGCCTTCCTCTCCTTCACTAACCCTTCACCTTTCCCAGCATGATGTCCTTTTCTAAGGACTAGCCCTTCTTAGCAACATGTCTGAAGTTTGTGCAATGTACATTACTTTCTTGCATAGGGCACACATTAATGCAATAATTAGCATATAACAGAAACTCAGTAATGAATGGTTAAATAATCTTGCCTAAGATTTGCTGGTTTTTGTACTTTACTCAATAGTGACTTTGTTGCTTAAGTCCTTTATAAATAATAAATTGAAATAGTTACTCCAGCTCCCTGTGATTTAAAATAACTTCATAATTTTTCAAGTAATTCATATTTCTGAAAAAAATTTACTTATAAAGCAATAGTTAATTATATTAGAAAATAATAGATTAATTTTTGCTTTCTTTACACAGTGAGTTTCTAATATTGTTTGCTGCCTTTAATTAATGTTGATTGTATTAGTAAATATCAGAACCTTTAATACTCACTTGTGATAACTTAGAATAAGAAGAAAATATATGTAGTTTTAATGAAATAGGATTGACAGACTAATCAAAATGTGTTTTACAAAAGGGCATATTTGTAAAGCATGTTTTTGTAGATGTTATTATAAAAATTTGTTGCTAAAAAAACTTATTGGTAAAAATATTATCATCTCATTTTAGTCTCCAGTATTGTCAGCAATATAGCAGTTGTCAGTGGGAAACAATCCTCCAAAATTCAGCTGAGTTTTAAAACACACTGAAATTTTTCATTTGAATAATTGAATGCATCTTCTTACAAGTTTGTACGCATTAATCATTATGGCATCATAATCTTTTTTGCACTTGAAAAATATTCTGTAACTATTCATTGGATGACTCTCTAAATATAGTAAGACTATTCATGACATTTACCTTCCACATCCTCATCTCCTGTTCTCAGCTTAGCTCATCATCATTTGCTGTGAACATGCTAAATTTAAAGACTGACACCATCCTAAGTAAAGCTGCTGCCTTTATTTCCTCCTACAAGAGTCTTAAGTCAAAGCTTACCTAAACTGTGTGGATAATATTTTTTATATACAAGTTATTTCCTCAGCTTGGATCAAAGAAATGAGACCCCACTCAGATTTTCCGGTTGTTAGATCTTACTCTTTTGCAAGTTCATTGATAAGTGAGCTTTCTGCATAATGAATCATTAGAAATTGAGAAGATAATGAGACAAAGAATCTATATGGACAAAATTGTTAATTCATGTAAGAATTTCTACAAATGTAAAACTGAGTAGGTTTTTGTTGTTGGACTTTTAAAAACAATACTGCTTCATAAATGTAAAAAATACTTCTTTTTAAAGGTGATTTGGTTTGGGGGGGCCCACGTAATTGTGTTTGCAGATCTTGCATTACGATGTTTGGTTGAAACCTATGCTGCCAGTTGTGAGGAAAGGAATGAAGAACCTTTAGCCAAACGCTTAAAGAATGATAAAACAGAAAATAACACTTTGACCAAGGAAGCAAATGGAAAAAATGTCCCAGAGAAGTGGACGCCTGTGGCTGGCATTGTTATTGCGCTCTGTTGTCACCACAGGTGTGATTGGAGACATTATGTGGGCAAAGAATATTTCAAGGCTCTAGGCCTTGGAGCAGTAGAATTCCACTATTTCCAGCGAATGAGTAGTTGGGCAACTTGTGGAATGCGGAACACATCTTTGGAAGCCTCAAATATCACCACAAAGAGAAAAGATAATCAGAATGATGAACGTGAAGACCATGATGAGGCTGGATACAGAATAGCAGACGACAGCGCTGATATTTCACCTGGGTAAGTGATTACTTCTGTAAAGCACAACGTTGAAAGAAAACATTTTATTATTTCCATATTTTCTTTCTAGATTAGTGTTGTAAAAATTTAGTCATGAAAATAAAGTTTTAATCTAATTTTAGAAGACGTTAAATTACATGCTTCTTAAACTATGATCATATAGTAATTGTATCTTAATAGGATATATTGCCTTTTAAATTCTTAGTTCTTTATAATATTTTTTAATAAATAAAAGTGATTTAAATGATTATTTACCAATGTTTATGTAAGCCTAACATTGTTTCATGTGTGTTTGTCTGATTTAGATTTCTTACTGTTGGCGAAAAGAAGAAAATAGGGCATCTTTGTAAATTGCTGATTGACCAAGGCCGAATACAGTATTTACAGCAGAAAGGATTCAGTCCTGCTTTACAATACTATATAGACCCTCTTGTGTCTTTGGAAAACGTATTGTTGACAGCTCTACCAAATAATTCTTCCTCGCCAGAAATGGTTGCTTTGTGAAAAAGACATTCTGACCATCTTCAGTGAAAAAAAAAATACTTCTATGTTGTTGTTTTTTTTAATATTCATGAAAATATCACTTAAAAAGCAAATAATACTGAACTTTTAAAAATGCGGTGACCTCATGAAACTTTGGTAATAGCTTTGTTTTTTACTTCAGAAGTCTAAAGAATTCACCAATTCCCAGAATAGTTCTCCTCATCAGGGCATCTTGCATTATGTTATCTATCATTACTTTTAAAGCTGTTGGCTTGATGATCTGAAAAACAAATAACATATCAAGATATAACTATCATATTGGCTTTCTATTTACATTGTTTTTTTGAAATTTCTTTAGGACTTTTTATTTCTCAGTTTTAGATAATGCTCAAGAGTGAAGTTTTTTAACTGTAGTCAGTCTTGAGAAATTGGCATTTGTACTGGCTTTTTCCCCCTACTGCAGTTAGAGAGGATAATGACTTTTTTCCAAGATGCAGACAAATTCAGAGATACTCAGTCAGTAAAATCACCTTCACATTTTCATAGGTATACCTCTAATGATATATTGTTAAAATTATAAGCTGTTAGAATCTAACAAATTCCAGAACTGAAGGAATATTCTTAAGGCAAGGGGAGAAAAAGAAGCTTTCCCTGAAAATCATAATTACTTACAAGTACAAATTCACATATCTCCTGAATATTTCAGATCTTTCAACAGGCAATATTTATATATGAAAGTATAAATATATACTGTTTGGCAAAATAATGGGAATGAAGTAGAAATTGGATAATAAAACAATTTTTTTTACACATTTAAGCTTTATTTCATTTCATGGGTAGTGTCAGTGCACAGGCAAGTATGAAATCCAAATATATGGTTATACTATTATTCTCCATATTTTACCTTAAATTATTTATTTGTAACATTTATCTTGACCTAATTATTCTTGTATTTGCCAAGACAGGAATCTAGAATTACTAGTTTTAGAAATTGTCATGATATTCTTGGGTAACTATATCCTGTAGATCTATGGTTACATGAATTGTAAATTAGAAGGTTAGTTCATTTTTAATTCCTGCCCTTTCTACTTTAATCTCACATTTTTTCAGGCTGCATACAGGAATCCTTAGGAAATCCCAATCCTACCATCTCAGCACTGTGGCCTTGGGCAAGTTTCTTAATATCTCTGTGCCTCAGTTTCCTCCTCATAAAATGGAGATGATAATAACACCTACCTCACCAGATTTTTTCCAGCATCAAAAACCTAACTAATTGCTCTCAAGTCTGTTCTGTTCTGTTGCCACTGTAGAACTATCCCAACATGTTGGGCTGCTAGTGTTAAAATTTAAGTCCCCAGTGGCTCTATGAGAGAAAGATGGTCAGTCTCCTTCTATAAAGATGTATTAACTCAGAAACTCAATGATTGGTTGGAAGTCATTCAACAGAGTGAGGTTGCATATGTTTTGAGTCTTGGAATTTCTAATGAAGCTGACTGCCATATCTTTCTTTCATGGAGCAGTTGGCAAGTTCAAACACCAACCTTTAATTAGCTTAAGTAAAATACAACAGACCTAAGCATAGACTTTTAACTCAATAAATGTTAACAGTTGTTATTGTTGTTGTGTACCATCAAGTTGGAACAACCCATAGCTGATCCTCCAGTGGGTTTTCAGAGTCAGTTGATCACAAGGGACGAAATTGCTCATCTCTCATGGAGCACCTGGTGGAATCGAACCATGTGCCTTCGGATTCTAGTGCAGCTTCTTACCACTAGACCACCAATAGTAATAATTCCTAAATTTTTTTAATAACAATAGGTATGTTTTCATTATGTCTTGGTTTGTTAATTTTTCTTTATTAGTTTTATGGCAGATATTATTAAAGTAGCTTTGATTCATTTTAAGTTAGTTGCTCAAGGTCCTCAGAACAAAACATATATTATTCGTTGATTAACTGGATGTCAGCCAGTGTTTATTTGCATTATGCATTTTGTCTGCAAAAGGTGTAAATAATCTGTTATGCTTCATGAAACCCATACATCTACACACAAAAATTATATTGATACAATCTTGTCGACTGTGTAGCTTAATGTTATGTCTTCTGACTAATGCAGAAAGCTTGAGAAGATAAATTTGTACTTCAACATGGCAGCCTTAGGTCAAGATTATTGTTTTCTTGACATTGTTCCTTTACTTTCCATAAAATGACTATATGGGTATGCACATAGCTAATCCTGAATCTGTGGAATTTGTACATTCAGCAAATGCCTTCTTAAGCTTTAAATTCATTTACACAACTTCCTTTCTTTCTACATGTCTCACAGGTACATCAGATTTACTACATTAAAACTGGACTTAAGCTTCCTCCTCTTCCGCCTGGGGCTGTCCAAAAGCCAACTTCATTTCTCCATCTTGGCACTACCATTCAGGTTCATCCTGGATACCTACCTTGTCTCATCTTCATTCAGCCATCAGTTCCTTTCCCTCCTTTGTCCTTTTATCCTATTTCCTGTTTTAAGCCCAAGCTATTAAAGCCCTTGCTTGTTTTCTTCCAACCTATCCTACATGACATTGCTTCTATGACCTTGCTACATCAAGTCTAATCAGTATTTTGTAAACATTGCATTTGCTAATAGTTTTCTTTTAGCTGAAAACTGTTTGAAGATTACTCATTCTGCAAATAAAATGTTAACTTTATTGCATTGAGATGAGTTAAAATATTCTTTAAGTAAAAATTCTTAATTTTGTGAACTATGAAACCATGATTTTTTTTACTACTATTGTTTCTATTAACAGATAATTATGTTCTCTTTCCTCCCAGTTTTGCTTGTTAAAAGACTTTAAATAAAAGTTTGTGCACACCTATGTTTATTACTTCTTTGTTCACAATAGCAAAGAATTGGAAACACCCCTAGTGCCCATCAACAAACAAATGGATGGAAAAGCTGTGGTATAGTCACACAGTGGAATGCTATGCAGCATTGAAAAGCAAGGAATTCATGAAATAAGAAAATGGGTGACCCTGGAAGACATTATGAAAGGTGAAATATCTCAGTCACAAAAGGACAAATACTGCATAATGCCACTGTTATAAAACAGGACTGACTTCGGGTTTGGGGAGAAACTAAGAAAAGTGGGGATAAATAATGTACACTGCATTGAAACAGATGAGGGAGAGAACTGTTTAAAAGGGATATATTGATTAGGTATTATTTGCATGACAGGAGTCCAGAATAACAGCTGTATAGTAAAGTGGACTGAGGTGGGGGATTGAATAACAAAGAATTTTTTTTTAAGAGAAAAGCAAACTGTGGGGGGGCGGGGGGGAGGTGTGCAGGAAGGAAAATATGCAACAATGAATGGAAATCCAAGTTCTCTATAAACTCTAAAATCTCAAAAGTTTGAAAAAATTTTAATTCTAAATTACTGGATTATATGGTTGAAATTTTTTTTGTTGAAATATTTTTCATAACAAATTTAGCTGCTGATTTTACAAAATATTTTTTGTTCTCTCAACTGTAGAAAAAGGAAATAGCTGGAAATTTAGTATTCATTACAGTAAACATAAGAAATCTTTAGGATGAGGTAGTGAAGATTTAAAATTACACCTTACTCATTCTGGGTGCTGCCTCAAAGAATTTGTTTCCTAACTCCAGTAGAAAGACAATATTTTTACCATGTCTCTTTCCAACCTCTTACCAGAATAATGAACTGATTTGAATTTCCCTTTTTTCCCTCCTACAATACTGATCAAGAGACTGGAATTTGGAAAGATGGAATGAGAGGTCTATGAAAGAATTAGTGGAAAAAAACTACACATTCCTCTACTAAAAAGAATATATATGCTGTGTGTTATGCCCAAACCTCATACCTGCTTTTCTCTGTGACTCCTGTATGTATGCATGCATAAACTGGAGGCCAAATAATTCCTGTTCCTCTTCATCTGTGCTTTCACTGGGGGGAAGAGTTACTGCCAGTTTCAGTGGGTTGTCTCTGAAGTTGACAAACCTAGCAGGTCACCAAAAAACAATTTGTATAGGTGCCATAGAATTGCACATTAATTTCTCTGGAGAAAGATCAAATGATAATGTATTAAATGGCTTTTTAAAAAAAAAACCCACACCCTTTATTTCATCTACTGAACAGTTTTCAGGTTTCGTTCCTAAAAGAAAAATATATAACATTTCCAAATCTTGTAAAAGCAACTGTTAATCCTACTACATATTTAATGTGGTGGAGTTTTTTAAATAAAATACATTTTAATATATTTTATATGTACAATTAATGCTGTGAAAATTTCATGTGTATTTTATAGACTTGTGTTTGAGTTACTGTATCTTTATTATTGGCTCAGTAGTTGCAGAATAAAAAAAATAGTTGCAGAATGAATAAATGAAGGTGTTTGTTATGAGAGTGGGATTGGGTGTGAATTCTGATGTCTTATGCTCACTGACTGGTAGCATAGTTTGTAGTATGTTTGTAGTACTAAAGGGTGGTGGTTTGGGTCCACAAGCTGCTCCAGGCTAGATAGATGGGCAGTCTCCCATTAAAGTGTACCGACAGCCTCAGAACCTCAAGGAGGGTCACTGTTAGTCAGAAGTGACTCAGCAGTGGTTTTGGTTGGGTTTTTTTGGCTAAGCTGCTGCTTGTTAGGTGCTGTCAAGTAGAGTGTGTCCCTATCTTGTGCCATCCTCACATGGGCTATGATATTTTTCAGATAGTGGCTATGCTTCCAGACAAATTTTGGACAAGCTTTAATAACAAGATATTAAATATTGCCTATGCTTTTTATCTGCAGCATAAGTGCCTTTGTCCATTTATAATTATTGAAAAGGAAAATAGTTATCCTTCCAGTTTTTATATTGCTTCTGAAATTCATTAGACGTTGTAAAGATGCTTTTGATGAGAATCTCCTCAGTATCTACATTTCCTAAACCTAATAAAGCACACTAGGATATTCTGGTGGATAAGGAGTTGTGCAGTTTGCCAGAAGCAGGCAGTTTGAATCCACAGGTGCTCTGCAATCCCATGTGATTTAGAGCTTTTTTGAGAAGCTTCCCTCTGGAAGGTCAGTTGTAAATCCATTTCAATTTGACATCAACAAATTGAGTTAAATAAAACCCACTGATTCTTTGATATGAAAGTCAGTTGTTGGTGGGAGTGTAAAATGGGGCAACCCCTGTGGAAAGCGGTATGGTGCTTTCTCAAAAAGTTGCAAATAGAGATACCATTTGACCCCGCAATACCACTACTGGGAATATACCCGAAGAGACCATAACTGACACCCAAGCAGATATATGCCCACCCATGTTTATTGCAGCTTTGTTCACAATAGCAAGGAGTTGGAGACAACCTAAGCGCCCATCAACAAACGAATGGCTAGAGAAGCTGTGAGATATTCGCACAATGGAATACTATGCTGCATTAAAAAACAAGAAACTCATGCAATATTATTCAAAATGGTTGACTCTGGAGAACATTGTGCTGAGTGAAATGTCCCAGTCACAAAGGGACAAATATTGTATGGTGCCACTGTTGTAGAATGGGACTGTCCTTGGGGTTGGGGAGAGACTGAATAAGATGGGTTCAATAATGTATGCTGCTCTGAAACAGAGAAGGGAGAAAACGGTTTAAAAGAGATATGTGATTAGGTATTTCTGTCATGACAGGAGTCTAGAGCGATGGCTACATGGTGGAGTGGACCTGGGGGAGGGTTTGTAAAATAATGAAAGAATCTTTTCTTTTACTTTTCCAAGAGGGTAATGTCTGGTGGGGGGGAGCCTTGGGAGGGGACAAATCTACAACAATGAATGAATGGAAATCCAAAGCCTCTGTAAATTTTCACTGAAATTAATAACAAATTTAAATTAAAAAAAAAGAAGTTAGAGTAAGGATGGCAATGGAACCACCTTACCTCTGTAACTTGATTTGTGCCACTATTAGAACCTCTACTCAGAATATTATTGCTTTTCAATTTTTTGACTCATGCACTTTTAACTTGTGAGTTAAATTTGTATCTTCTAGGCTGCAACACTTCAATGATACATCTTCAAGGATATGAATATGTACGGCTAAGCACAGTTGATAACAGTGCATCTAAATTCCAAAATCAATCTCCATAAAAGTCTGTGTGTTTCCTACTGCCAAGGGGGCCCTTTAGAGTAGTGAGAGAAGACATTCACCCTGAAACCCACAGCGTCCCTTTTCAGCAGGAAGTAGCTAAGAGAATATGCTATCCCCTTTTCCTTATGACTCAGGGTGAAGTCTCTCTCAGGGAGGAGTGATAGGGAATGGCAAAGGACACACCGACAAAGGAGATTAATCAGAACTGGCTTTGACAAGCACTGTGGCAATTGGACAATTAAAACAGACATTCCGGGGGGGGGTGGTGGAGAAAACAGTGCAACAATGAATGAATGAAAACCCAAAATCTCTGTAAATGTTCATTAAAACTAATAAAATTTAATAATAAAAAAGTTGTGAATAACTCAAATCACTATACATTTCATTCAATTATAGAATTTCTCAGGAAAAAAAATTTAATATCTTTATATGAGTAATACTTCAGACTTATTAATAAAAATATTCTCAGAAGGGTGAGGATGAGGGAGGATGGTAATTACAGGGTTACAAAATTTGATGGGTAGAGGGAAGGGGTGGGTAAAAGAAATGAGAGCCAGTGTGAAAAACTAGACAATATTTGTAAGTAAACCAGTAAATAAAAATTTTACTTTAAAAAAATTATATTCTACAATCGGAAAGGAATGTAAGTTTATGTCTAAAACTTTTTACCTCAGATTCGTCATTTCTTCCATGCATACTGGAATATCTTGCAGTTGATTACTGCTGAGAACAAGAGTACCCAGATTTCTCATATTACTGATTGTTTCCGGCAAGCATGTTATTTCATTACGTTGTAGCCAAAAAGTATGTAGACTTTGCATTCTGAAGGATTGGGGGGAAAGAAAGTAATTAATTTCCTAATATGAAATCTGGTTTTTATTAAAATATTTTTATGACTTTATGCCACCATACATATGCATATTGACTTCACAACCACATGGGAAAGTTCTATTTCCTATATTATGGCTTACTTCATGGTAGAAATTACTGTAGAACTAGTAGAGTGGCACCCACTTCCTAAACAACATGCCTCCAGAAACCCTATGAACTTTGATAAATGTCAATAGTTGTAGAAGGGCTTCAGGCCTTTTGTTAATAGGATCACCTATGAGTCGTGCTCAACTTGAAAGAATCAACAACATTTTAGAACTGTAATAGAGTCATCACTATTTTCATAGGATTTCTTGACTAAGGTGAGTGTTACATAAAATAACATGTATATTCATTTAGGATAGGAAGCTCTGGTGGCCTAGTGGCAAGAAGCTGCAGTAAAATCCCAAAGGCACCTGCTTTGAGGCCACCAGCTTGCTCTGCACGAGAAGGATGGGCAGTCTCCTCCCATGTGGTTAACAGCCTCTATGGTACACAACAACGTAAGAAAATATTTTATCAAAAGCATTATTTGAAACTAAAAGGAGCTTTTTGTGCTTCCCACCCCGATATTTTTAAGATATTTTGTGTTAGCATAACCCCCACTGCTATCGAGTTGATTCTGATTTATAGAAGCCTTCAGGACAGACTAGGACTGTGTCGGAGGGTTTCCAAAGCGATCTGTGCAAGCCACTGCCACATCTTTCTTAGAGCAGCTGGTGAATTCATCCTGTTGACCTTTTGGTTTGCTTCCCAGGGCTTAATCCGCTATGCCACTAGGGTTTTCTATTGCTAGCCCAGAAAGCCCTTTATACCTTTCTATAGTATCAGGAAGTTGCTCAAGTCGGTTGCTTCCCATGTCAAGCCACTCCAGAGCTGGCATATTCAACACAGCAGGAGGGATGGTAGTAAAATGGTTCATACTCAAATCAAGGTGAGTAAGATTTAACAACTTGCTGAGCTAAAGAGAAAAACAGTATTTCCAAAATAAATGTCCATGATACACTAGTAGAAGAGTTATATTGGTACAGTAATCTTTCATATATCAAGGAGCTTCAACTTCATACTTTGGCTCTACTTGGTGGTAGTGGTTGTTGTTATGTGCAGTTAGTTGCTTGCAACTGAAAGTGATTTTATATACAAGACCTCTAAACCCTGCTCTATCCTGTGCCAACCTCACTATCTCTGACACACCTACTCCCATTACCCCAATCACTGAATCGATCCATCTCATCGAAGGTCTTCCTCTCTTGCACTGTCCCTCCACCCTCCCAAATATAATGTCCTTCCTTGCAACATGTCCAGTGTATGTCAGATGAAACTTCAGAATCCTTGCCTCCAAGGAGAAGCCCAGTTTCACCCTCTCCAGGACAAACTTGTTCTTCTAGCAGTCCATGGTGTATTCAACATTCTTCTCCAACACCACAGCTCAAAGGCATCAATTCTCGTTCTATCATCCCTAGTGACTGTCCAACTCCCTGACGCATAGCACACTAATGCGAAGACTATGGCCTGGATCAGGCACACCTTGTATCTTTGCTCTTCAGTTCTCAGAGAGTACATCTAGCTTTCCCAGTATGGTGGGTCTCTCCAAGGACTGGTTTCTACTGAAAATACACCCAAAGCAAGCAAGATGAAATGTCACAATCCTTGCCTTTAAGGAGCACTCTGGTTTCACTTTTTCCAAGACAGAACTGTATGTTCTTCTGGTAGTCCAGGGCTATTCCTTACTCTTTACTAGCACCACCGTTCAAAGGCATTGCTTTCTTCTGTCATCTTTATTGTCTGACTTTCCGATGAATAGAACACAATTGAAAATATTCTGGCTTGGATCAGGCACATCTTTGTCTTTAAACTGACATCCTTGGCTCTTTAGCAAATTGGAAAGGCACTTGACAACAGATTTCCCTTGTGGAACACTTTTTCAAGAATTATTTTTTGGATTCTCCTGACGCCCCCAGAAGCTCGGAGGCAGGCAGAGAGGCAGTGCCAGAGCAACAAAGCTTCGCAAAAACTCTGTGCAGGACATGGTCCACAGGCACCAGACACGAGCCCTCCCTGCCACCAACATGCCCAAGAGGAAGGTCAGCTGGGCTGGGTGAAGGGGCGGTGAAGGATGAGCCCAAGAGGAGATCAGTGAGGCTGTCAGCTAAGCCGCCTGCAAAAGTGGAAACGAAGCCCAAAAAGGCAGCACGAGAGGAGAATTCTTCTGACAAAATAGTGCAAACAAAAGGGAAAGGGGGAGCAAAGGGAAAACAGGATGAAGTAGCCAACCAAGAAACTAAAAAAGATTTACCTGCAGAAAATTGAGAAACTAAAAACGAAGAGAGTCCAGGCTCTGATGAAGCAGGAGAGAAAGAAGCCAAATCTGATTAAATTTGTCTACTATGTCTTAACACTGGTCCCTGATCTCCTTGTACAATCCAGAGGAATATTTTTATTAATTATTTTGTAAATGCAAGTGTTTTAGTAGCTCTAGAAACATTTTTAAGAAGAAGGAACTCCCACTCCATTCAATTTTAAGTGTAAATGCCTTTTAAAAAAAAAAAAAAGAGGAGAGATAATTTGCTGGTTGTTTATATTTTGGTATAACCAGAAAATGTGGGATGTTAAAATTGTGGGGGACTTTGGATGTCAGTGTAACATTCCATGGGGAAAAGGGACAGTTTTTATATCCCATAATACATAGTATACTTAATGACAATTTGGAGTCATAGTCATGCATTTATGACTTGAACATTTTAAATTAAGTCTATTTTCCATGGTTTTTAGATACATAAATTAGAACATTGTTTAGTAAAATGTCTTCTTAAACATAATCACTCCTTTCTCATGGTTTTCTCCCTGTCAGAACTATGTGGATTCTGTAACATCTTTGGTGTCCAGTTTTCCTAATAGCTTTGTTATGTGCTGTGAATGGTTGAAAATTTGAATGGGTAGTGTGTGTGATAGTAAATTGTGAATTGTGAATTAGTAGGACTTAATGATGTGACAGTTTATCAACAACTGAAGATATTGGTACTTATTTTCTTCTTTATGAAGATTCTCCTCCAAATTTAAAGCTAGAAGGTCACTGGAATTTAGAAAAAGAATTCTAACTATATGACTTTTTAGGTTTTTGATACGTACATAAGAATTGTTGATAGGTTGTTCATAATGTCTCTGTACTGGTCCTTAAAACAACCAATAAAATACAATTCATGAAAGAAAACAATTAGTTTTTTAGTGCAACTACTATAGATATTGATTATGGATCCAAGTAAAATGAAATTGTTGACTAATCAGAAGAATTATTGATGCCTTTGAGTTGCGGTACTGGAGAAGAGTATTGAACGTACGTACATACTATGGACAGCCAGGAGAATAAATAGGTCTATCTTGGAGAAAGTAAAACGGAGTTTCTCCTTGGAGGCAAGGATTTTCATGCTGTTTCATATACTTTGGACATGTGACCAGAAGGGACCAGTCATTTGTGAAGGACATCATTCTTACTGTAAGGGTGGAGAGACAGTGCATGCAGGAGAGGAAGACCTCAGATGAGGTGGATTGACACAATAACTGGGGCAGTGGCATCAGATATGTCAAAGTCAGTGAGACTGGCTCAGGATAGGGCAGGGTCCACAGCTGTTATACATAGGGTTGCTATGAGTTACAGGTGACTTGACAGCACGTAACAACAACATCACAATGTTGCTTATTGATCCAGTTGTGAGAACTTTTGCTTTCTTGATGTTTAGCTGTAATATATTGAAAGCTTTATTCTTTGATATTTTGCCGCAAGTGATTCAAGTTGTCTTCACTTTCTGCAAGCAAAGGTGGGTCATTGGCATAAGGCAAATAGTTGACGAGTGTCCCTCCAATCCTGATACCACATTCTTCTTCATGGAGTTCAGCTTCTCGAATTATTTGCTCTAGTGCAACAATGAATGAATGGAAGTCCAAAATCTCTGTAAATTTTTATTGAAATTAATAATTAATTTTAAAAAGAACAAAAATTATTTTCTCAGCATACAGAGTGAATAGATAATGAGAAAGGATACAACATACCTTTGCTGATTTTAAACCATGCAGTGTTCCCTTTTCTGTTTGGACACCTACTTCTTGGTCTGTATGTAAGTTTCACATAAGCACAAGTTCCAAATCATAGCTGCCTTAAAACCACAAAACCGTGCCTTATCCTATGACATACTAACAATCTGTGCTGTGCTTAAGCCCATTTTGCAGTCACTGAGTCGATTAATCTCAATAATGGTCTTCCTCATCTTTCCCGACACTTTACTTTTCCAACATAATTTCTTTTTCTAGAAATTGTGCCACCCCCAGCCCAGCAACATGTATGAGATAAAGTTTCACCCTCCTTGCTTCCAAAGAAGCACTCTGGATATAAGAGTTCTTCCTTCAAGACAGATTTGTTGGTTCTTTTTGAATCCTTGATACATTCGGTCGTCTTCAACAATGCCACAATTCTAAGCTCTCAATTCTTCCACCTTCCCAATTTATTATCCAACTTTCATATACATGTAAAGCAACTGCAAATAGCATGATTTGGCATCAGGAGTACCTTAGTCTTTAAATTGGCATCATTGCTCTTTATCACTTTAAAGAAGTCCTTTAATAACAGATTTGCCCAGCGGAACAGATATCTTAAGTTCTTTATTGTTACTACCGTGTGTGCTGATTGTGGATCCATTTTTAATTTAAATCACTGACCACTTCCATCATTATCATTATGTTTATTGTTAGGATTTTGTTTTCTTTGTTTTGAGATGTTATCCATGCTGATGTCTTTGAACTTCTTCAGTAAGTACTTTAAGTCCTTTTGACTTTATGCAAACAAGCTAATGTCCTCTGCATAATGTAGCCTGTTGATGAATCTTTCTCCAGTCCTGATACTACGTTCTTCATGTAGTCCAGCTTCTTGAATTATTTGCTCAGCATACAAATCTAATAGGTATGCTGGAAGAATACAATCCTGTCTCATCTTTCCTGATTTTAAGCCATGAAGAATCCCCTTATTCTGTTTGAACAACTGCTTCTTGATTCATGTAAAGGTTCCATATAAACATAATTAAGTAATCAGGAATTCTCATTCTTCTTATTGTTATCCATAATTTATTATGATCCATACAATTGCATGCCTTTACACTGTCAATAAAGCACAGACACCATTCTGGTATTCTCTGCTTTCAGCCAAGATATATTTGACGTCAACTTAGAATTTTCCCCCATCTATCATGATGTTGCCTATTGGGCCAGTGGTGAGGATTTTTTTTCTTCTTACTGATGTTGAGATGTAATTTAGATTGAAGACTGTAATCCTTGATCTGCAGGAAGCGCTTCAGGTCCTCCTCACTGTGAACAAGAAATTTTCCCAGTGATCAACATTTTTATCATAAGGGCATACTTTTTTTCATGAAACCACTCCATATCGTTTTGGTCTATATGCACAACAGATCATTCAGGAGGCTGGACTTGATGAGGAGGAATGTGGCATCAAAATTGGAAGAAGACACATCAATAACCTGTGTTATGCAGATGTCACAATCTTGCATGCTAAAACTGAGATGGATCTGAAGCATTTGTTGCAGAAGGTCAAGTACTGTAGTCTTAGTCTTCAATATGGTTTGAAGCTCAACATCAAGAAAATAAAAGCAACTCACCACTAGTCAATTGGCAGCAATATACTAGACGGAGAAGATATTAAGACTGCTAACAATTTCAGCTTGCTCGGTTCCACAACCAACACTCTTGGCTCTATCAATCAGGAAATCAAAAGATAAATTGCATTAGGAAAAGATGATGTCAGATCTTTCCAGAGTTCTAAAGAGTAATGATGTCAGTCTAGTGACTAGATGTGCCTGGTCCACAATTACTTGCTATGAACTAGAGAGCTGAACAATGACCAAGAATGAAAGAAGAATCAATGCCTTTGAGTTGTGGTGCTGGAGAAGAGTATTGAACACACCATGGACTGCCAACACAGTCTACCAAAAGGTTTGTCCTGGAGAGGGTGAAACCAAGTTGCTCCTTGGAGGCAAGGATTTTGAAGCTCCATCTCACACATGCCTTGGGCATGTTACCAGGAGGGACCTGACTTTAGAGAAAGAAACCACGCTTGGAAGGATGGAAGGACAGTGCAGGAGAGAAGACCCCAAATGGGATGGATTGACACAGTAACTGGAGTTAAGTGTGTCAGAGAGAGATTGGCTCTGGATAGGGCAGGGTTCAGAGTTACTGTGTTACTGTGTGTAGGGTCGCTATGTGTTTTAGTTGACAGGATGGCACATAACAGCAGTAACTACAAGGGAGCTCTGATGGCTTAATGGTAAGAACCTGTACTCTAACCCCAAAGGCATGTGGTTCAAATCCACCAGCTTCTCTGTGGGAGAAGAATGGATTATTTCCTTTTGTGACATTTACTGCCTCTGAAAATCTGCTGGAGGATCAGCTATATGCCAATTCTGACTCAAAGGCGCACAAAAACAACTACAAGATGACATTTATTTGTAACTGTTTTACTTGCTAGAGCATATGTTGGTAATTATCTTACTAAGTTGTTTTTTTATGTTTTGTTTTTGTTTTTGTTTTTTTAAAGTGTGAAGGGGCAGGATATACTCATCAAGATAAAATGGAAAAAGGGAAGGGTCTTGAATTTTATTTGGAATTTTTGTTCTGGGGTTTGGGTTGGGTTAGGGGTTTTGGGGTTTTTGTTTGTTTGTTTGTTTTTCAGCTTTTCTCTTCCAAATTTATTACCAAGATGAAATACTATGGAAATTTCCTCTATCTATAATTTCAAGAATATTAGATATATTTGAAAAATAAAGTTTGTTTCATTTGGCCAATCAAAAACATTATACTAAGGTCTCATTTCCTAAACTCAAGCAAACAGGTCTGTCCTGGAAAGGGTGAAACCAGGTTGTTCTTTGAAGCCAAGGATTTTGAAACTATGTCTCACATACTTTGGGCATGTTGTCAGGAAAGGCTAGTCCTTGGAAAAGGACATCACGCTTGCAAGGCTAGAAGGTCAGCACAAGAGAGGAAGACCGTGGGTGAGATGGACTGGCACAGTGACTGTGCAGTGGGGTCAGGTGTGTCAAAAACGGTGATGTGGCCTCGGCATAGGGCAAGGTTCAGAGCCATTGTTCAGAGTGTGTATTCGACTCCACAGCACATAAAATCAAGTCATATTTCCTAAAGGCAATATTTATTGTCTCAGTCATTCACCTTTATCTCAAAAGAGATGACTTTAAAGTTGAATGAAAGTTTTTTATTTTCTGTGATTTATGATAATTATTAATCTGTCCAATAATTAAATAACCATTACAACCTGGATTCTGCACTCATTTTTGGGGATATAAAAGTCACTCAGTCTGACTTTCAAGGAGATCATAATCTAGCCAATAAATAAATGATGCTGACTTTAAAAACCAAACCCAAAGTCATCGTGTCAATTCTAAAACATAGCAACCCATCAGGACAGAAAACTTCCCCACAGGGTTTCCAGGTTTTCCAAACCAACTGCCTCATTTCCCCCCAAGAGTAGCTGGGGGATTTGAACCATCACTCTTTCACTTAACAGACCAATGTTTAGTCCGTTCTGCCACCATTACACTTACAAATGGTGTCAGTATTTTGATAACAACAGAAGTATCTGTTAGATTAATCAGATGATAGTAGCAATTTCTCCTGGCTTTAAGAGACCCTTCTAAATTAAAAATATATATTATTCTTAAAAGAGTAGGAAATTGTTTTCACTGAATTTTCCCCCTTAATCTTATTTTGCCCCCCTTAACTTAATGATCACACAATTGAATAGAAAATCAGTAGTACATGAGGAAGAAAATTGTAGGCATTTAGATGACTCTGACCTCTTGTGGAAGATCACAGATATCTCTGTTAACAGCGAGCTCTAATTTCTCCAAGCTGGCACAGTTACTTAGTTCCTTAGGGACTGTCTTGATTTTGTTGTAGCTAAGGATCAGTTCCTGAAGTCTAGTGAGCAGCCCTAAAAAAAAACCCCAACACACAGTAATGGGTTGATAGAATATGGCAGTTTCACGTTGGCAAATTTTCAGTTCTTAGCTTTTTCCACTTTTTCAGTCTCTATCCTTTCCCCTTTTTAAGCAAGAACCAGCTCTATCAGTGCTAAAAGGAGTGGGGGTTGGGACAGAAGGAAACCCTACAAACTTAGAGAAATTATGCTAGTTATACAGCAGGGTTCAGTGCTTCATTCATAGGGTCTCTATGGATTGTCTACAACCCAACAGCACTTAACAACAGCAACAACCTATATCCTGAGAAAATTTTCATTTAGAAATTTCCATCTTTCCTTCAACCTGTTTTATACCAGACATTCCAGCTAAATCAACAATATTGTTTTTAGAATCTACAAAAGAAACTTTGCTTATGTTAAAATCTTAACTGAGTCACTCAGTGACTAGAAGTTTTCATTTCTGAAAGCTTTAATTTGGATTTAGATGGTCACATTTTTCTTTATAAAGCTGTGCTCTTTATGTATTAATTTTTTTTCCTCAATAAAAATCTCATTTGTAGATGGTAAAATAACAACACGTTCCTTACCAATTCCTCGAGGTATCTCTGAAATGGTATTTCGTGATAAATCTAACACAAGCAGGTTCTGGAATCTTCCAATAAATTCAGGAATTTTCAACAAACCGATTCTATGAAGTTGCCATTCCTGTAGCTGATTCAGCTTCAGTAGGGAAGAAGGGAGCGTCTAAACTCAAGGGAAAATGACAAAATCACAGTATTAAGTTTCTTCAGTACTATATACTACACTGACAGGGTCAAAGTGAAGTATTGCTACTAAGGTTCCCGGTCATACACGCATAGGTTATCCCAACCACTATGTGTTTTAATCTATCTCTTCCATCACTGGATGGCTGGTGCCTTAAAAAATTATAACAACAACAATACTTTTAATTTCACGAAAAGAAGTGTCACATGAAGATCAGTGAGCTCAAAGAGCTAATCTTTTCATCAGACTCTAAGCAAGATTGAACCTAATGAAGAACAAATTCCTAATGGAACAAATTCTAACCAAGGTTGGCTCTTGGATTTACCAATACTATCTGAAGAGCAAGGACCAATAAAAACAATGACTTCAAGGGGATCTATTAGGCCAGTTAAAGTCAAGGCCGAAAGGTCAACTCAGAAGGTTGATGGCAATGAATTTCCAAAGGGGTATCTTGATACATTTCTTGAAAGACCTAGGACAGTCACTGGGACTGATCATGAAGACATTTTAAGAAAGCTGAGAAGTAAATTGGTGAGGAAGTGGCACTGAGGAATGTTTTTCCATCACGACAATGCCCCTGCTCATTCTTTGAATTACAAGTGCTACCCTATGAGAATTTTACTGGGAAAGTACCTTCATCCACCCTACCTCTTGATCTTGCCTTTTTACCCTTCCTCTTGTTCCTTAAACTCAACATTTAAAAGGAGCTCTATTTGAGTCCCTTAAGGATGAGGTAATTGCCTTTTCCTTTTCTTTTTCTTTCTTTTTTTTGTGTGGTCCTAAAATTGCCATTTTGATGTAGTATTAATCAAAGAGCCCAGAATTCTTTGTAGACGTATTCCAAACACAAACCAATCCCACTGTGGAAGGTTGGTTCCTACTTACAGCACCTCCTTATTTGGTTTTAGAGGCTGTGAATCATTTTTTCTTGAGGCTGTGAATATTTAAAGGAGGAAATCACCCATCTCTCTCCCTAGAGGGGCTGGTGGATTAAAATTGCCTAATTGTTGGTTAGTAAGCCAACACATACCTCACTATTCTACCAGAGTTCCTTCTTAAAAGGATTCTCTTTTTCTCTCCTTCCCTCCCTCTCTCTTTCCTTTTTCTCTCTCTCCTTGCCACGTAGTCAGGAGTCAGAGCTGGCTAATAGCTGACCATCTAGCAGGTTTCCAAGGCTATAAATCCCATAAGAAGCGAATGGCCTGCTCTCTCCCTCAGATCTGCTGGTGGATTAGAACCAACAGAGAGGTGTGACCTCTGAGTTAGCATGACAGCAGACACCAGAACTCCCTAAAAGGATAGTGGGGAAAATGATCATAAGTTATTTACTAATTCAAAGGATTAGTAGGGAAATAATTATAAATTGCTTTTAGGCAGAGCACCATAATACTAAATTTTTTCAAGAAATAAAAACCAATTACTTTTTTCTCAGTTGTTGATGTTGCTCAAATTAATTTGCATGTCTAAAAATTAGAATGTCTAACAATTGATCTTAGTTAATTGCACAATTGTAGTCATTTTCTTAACACTGCTGTAAATTAGAAAATATGGAAAGCCATAAATCACTTCTCCCAAATTTACCTTCCATTCTTCTTTTTCTATTTTCAAAACCAGTCTTCCATCTTCTGTGATAATCTTTTCTCTTAATTTAGTTAAGCTAACTCTCTCTTCCCAGATCCGCACTAGCCTGGAAGGCCAAGAAATCATTTTAGTTTATAGTTAATTAGATAGATTGCTGTTGTTCTTTTTCTGTTGAGTTAGAACCAATTCATAGCTGACCCTCCAGCAGGTTTTCAGAGGCAGTAATTTGCATAGTAGATTTCCCATTCTCCTGTGGAGCAGCCGGTAGATTCAAACTGCATGTATTGGGATTTGCTGTACAGTTTCTTACCAGTAGACCACACCCTTAACGAGATAGATAGCATGAGCATTTACTTTTTCATACAACCTGTGAAAAGTGTCCATTTGATCAAGGGAATCTGGAAATCAGACAAGAATTTATGTGCAAGAATCATCAATTATATTAGTACACAGTGCCATTATAAGCTTTTGAAAGCAGTTGTAATTCTCCATAAATTATTTTTTGTAACAAGTTTGTTAACATGTAACTCACATACCATAAAAGTCGTGTTTTAGTATATTTGTACAGTTTGTATAGTGCCACTAATAAATTTTAAAACATTTTCCTAACCCCAAAAAGCGACTGCCTATCCATTAGCAGACTTTACCAACCTTAACTTCACTTTCTGTCTCTATTGAAAAGCCTATTCTGTGAGGAAGCGGAAGTCCCGCCTCTCTTCTGAGAGGAAGAAGCAACGCAGAGGGAACAAGAGCGATTTGAGACCGTAGCCGTCACCATGAGCCTCCTCAACAAGCCCAAGAGTGAGATGACCCCGGAGGAGCTGCAGAAGCGAGAGGAGGAGGAGTTTAACACAGGCCCGCTCTCCGTGCTCACTCAGTCGGTCAAGAACAACACGCAAGTGCTCATCAACTGTCGAAACAACAAGAAGCTCCTGGGCCGTGTGAAGGCCTTCGACAGGCACTGCAACATGGTGCTGGAGAACGTGAAGGAGATGTGGACCGAGGTCCCCAAGAGTGGCAAGGGCAAGAAGAAGTCCAAACCCGTCAACAAGGACCGCTACATCTCTAAGATGTTCCTGCGTGGGGACTCAGTCATTGTGGTCCTCAGGAACCCCCTCATCGCTGGCAAGTAGGGCCACCCCTGTCTCTACAGCCCTGTCCCACAGCCACCTCCTGCCGCCCCAGAAGACCTCTCCCGTACTGGGAATAATAAAGTCCCTGTGTGGTGGGTTTTTTTTTACAAAAAAAAAAAAAAAGCCTATTCTGTGCATTTCATTTAAATAATGTTGTTGTTTGCTGTTGAGTTGAGACTGATTCATAGCTGAACCTCTAGGCAGTTTTCAGAAGCAGTAATATAAACAGAATCACATAATATTTGGCCTTTATACAAAGTTTAATAGGACATCAAGTAATAAATGTTGGAAAGGATGCGGCAAGATAGAAACTCTCCTACATTGTTGGTGAGATTGTAACATGGTACAACCACTCTGGAAGGCAGTTTGGTATTTCCTCAAAAAGATGAACATAGAAATTCTATATGACCCAGCTATTCCTCTGCTTGGAATATACCTCGAGAAAATGAGAACTGAGGCACAAAAGGAGACTTGTACATTAATGTTTATAGCAGCATTACTCACTATTACAAAAACATGGAAACAGCCCAAATGTCCAATCACAATCCAATGGACTGAGAAATTATGTTACAATTGCATGATGGAATATTATGTAGCATGCAGGAGCAATGATTTTGTAAATTACTACCTAAGTTGGGAGAGACTGGAGAGCATTACGCTAATTGAAGTAACTTAGTCCCATAAAGATAAATATGGTATAAAATCATTATTGTAGAAGGAGAATGAGGCTCCAAGGGGTGGAGGGTGGGAGCAGAAGGATGATGATGGGCAGAGAGAGGAGGGGGTGGTTAATCACAGGGTCACACAGTTTGATGGGTGGAGGGAGGGGTGAGTAAAGGAAATGGGGAAAATCCAGCATGAAAAACAATGTATGTGAACTTTGTAAGTAAATAAATATAAAATAAAAATTTTATTTTAAATAAAAATATTTGGCCTTTATGTGATTTCTTGCACTTAATATTTCCAAGATTCTTCTATTCTATACTATACATTAAGTGCCTAATTTTTAAGTATTCTTTTTAAAGGACAAATAAGATTTCACTGTATGTGTATTTCATGTTTTATTTATCCATTTTGCTGCTAATAAATATTTGCGTTACTTTAACATTTTAGCTGTTATAATTAATGCTGTTATTTATACACATGCAGTAGTTTTTATGTGAACATATGTTTTAATTGCTGGCTTATATGGGGTAACTCTATGTACAGCCACAGTAATGGATGTGAAAGTGAGCCCTGGTGGAATAATGCATAACCTTTTGGACTGCTCAGTTCTAATTCACCAGAAAATTAAAGGAGAAAGGTAATCTACTCAAATATCTGCAGCCTTAGAAACTCAATGGAGGGTCAGGTAACATCGAATAAGTATTGATGTAGTAGCAATGAGGCTATTTTATTTAATAAGCATGAAGTGGCATCGCTCATTGCGGTTTTGATTTATGTTACCCACACACAATTGTTCTGTCTGGGGCTGTGTGGAGGTGGCAGATTTTCACCATGGCTCACTCTCTGCAGGTAATGCACCCAGTCCCAGAAGGCTGGCAAGCTGGGTCTGGGAGTCATAATAGTTCTGGGAGCTATAATCTATAAATGATCGATAATCCACTGGTGGTCTCATGTTAGTGCTAACCCACTGGGGAAGCTGTTCTGCCAAGCCAAAGGCATTTGTTTGAATCCACCAGCTTCTCAGCAGGAGAAAGATGGGCATTCTTCTCCTGTGTGATTTACGACTTTGGAAAACCCACTCAAGGGTCAGTTATGAATTGGTTCTGAGTTGAAATCAAGAATTATTTAATTTGTTGGTATTTAATAAAAGAACTATTTTTGTGACTTGCTAATCATACACATGGACTTCACCTCATGGACTACACAGAAATCAGAATAACGAAATGTTGGAGATATCAATATCAACAGCCAGAACCAGGCCAAGTGCTGACTGTGGAATAGACCATCAATTGCTCATATGCAAATTCAAATTGAAGCTGAAGAAATTTAAAACAAGTCCACAAGAATGAAAATAGGATTTTGAGTCTATCCTGCCTGAATGAAAAAAATCATCTCCAGCATAGATTTGAGGCATTGAACACTAATGATTGAAGACCAGATGAGTTAGGGAATGACATCAAAGATATCATTCATGGGGGAGCTCTGGTGGTCTAGTGGCAAGAAGCTGCACTGCAATCCCAGAGGTGCACAGTTCAAATCCACCAGATGCTCTGCCGGGAAAGGAGGGACAATCTCCTTCTGTACCAGTCAGATCCGATTTGACGGCACACACACACACACACACACACACAAAGTTATCATTCATGAAGAGAGCAAAAAAACAGAGAAGAGAATGACCAAAATGGATGTCAGAGAAGATTCTGACAATTGCACAAGAGCAAAGAGAAGCCAAACAAAAAGAAAAGATTCCTGAATAAAAGAGCTGAAGATTTCAAAAGGCAGTCCAAACAAAATATTATGATGAAATGTGCAAAGAGTTGGAATTGGAAAATAAAAACAGAAGATCTTGCTTGGTATTTCTAAAATTGAAAGACCCGAGAAACAAATTCAAGCCACAAGTTACAATACTGGGAAAGACTATCTGCAAAATTTCTAATGATCCAGGAAGCACTAGGAGAGAATTGGTTGACACTGAAAAATTTCAGGAAGTATCATATGAACAGGAGCCAGAGGAAGAAAGAAGAGGTTCAAGCTATACTGAAGGCATTGGCCAAAAATAAGGCTGCAGAAATGAATAAGATACCAACTGACATGTTTCGACTAACAGACACAACCCTAGACAAGTTCACCATTCAATGCTAGGGAATTTGAAGGACAGCTGCTTGGCCAGCTGACTAGAAGAGTGCCATATTTTTTCCCATTCTCAAGAAAGGTGATCCAACAGAGTGGAGATTATCGGACAATATATGGAATATCACATGCAAGCAAAATACTACTGATGGTCATCCAAAAATGGCTAGAACAGAACATCGAGTACTGTCAGAGGTTCAAGCAGGGTTTAGAAAAGGTTATGGTGCCAGGGATATCCCTGATGAAGTAAAATATATCCTGGCTAGAATCAGAGAATGTAAGAAGAATGTTTATTTGTGTTTTATTGAGTAAGCAAATGTATTTAACTGTGTGAATCATAACATAGTATGGCTTACACTGAGAAGAATGGGAATTCCAAAACACTCAATTGTGCTCATATGTAACCTATATCTAGACCAAGAAGCTGTTGTCTAAACAGAGTATGGGAACACTGCATGATTTAAAACCAGGAAAGATGTGCATCAGAGTTGTATCCTTTCGCCAAACCTATTTAATATGTACACTGAGAAAATCATTCAAGAAGAACAATGTGGACTTAGGATCAGAGGAAGACTCACCAACACAACACCCTGTGTTATCTATATGACCCAACCTTGCTTGCAAAATAAGGAGGACTTAAAATACTTGCTGCAGAAGATCAAAGAGTACAGCCTTCATTAAGGATTGCATCTCAACATTAAGAAGACAGAAATTTTCACCACCAGACAATAAGCAACATTATGATAGATGAAGAAAAGATTGAAACTATCAACTATTTCATCTAACTTGGTTCAACAATCAACCTCCTTGATACCAATGGTTAGGAGACATATTGCACTGGGGATGCCTGCTGCATCAGGGACCTTTCCAAGATACTGAGGAGCAATGATGTTTGAAGACTAAGTTGCTTCTGATTCAGGCCGTGGTCTTTCAATCACTTGCTATGCATCTGAGAGCTGGGCAGTGAATAAGAATGACAGAAGAATTGATGCCTTTGAATTATGGTACTGGAGAAGAGTGCTGAGTATCCCATGGACTGTCAAAAGAGCCAGCAGTCTTGGACAAAGTGCAGTCAGAATTCTCCTTGGAAGCAAGGGTAGCAAAGCTTTTTCTCACATACTTTGAGCATGTTGCTAGGAGAGGCTATTCCTTGGAAAGGGAAACGTGGAGGTTCAGGAAAAAAGGGGAAAACTTTCAACGAAATGGACTAACACAGTGACTGCAGCAATGGGCTCAAGTGTCAGAGATGGTGAGGATGGCCCAGGATGGGACGGGGTTCAGAACGGTTGTTTGTTGGGTCTCTGAGTCATACTCAACTCAATGGCCCCGAACAGCCACAATCATACACTTCTATTTCAGAATTAAATTGCTTATTAAAACATTCTAGTTTCATCTGGACTTTTTCTTTCGGTTATAAAAAATACATAAAATCTTAGTTATGTTGAGGCTTAACTCTTAAGTCTTGGATTTTGATCCCTGAGGATAATATCAAAGTATAAAAATAATTAGCAGAAGATTTTCTATTTTTTAATATCTCAGAAAAATTGTTCATCTATAGGTAATAGGGGATAAAAAGGTTTTGAATTGCCATGTTAGCCCATTAAGATGGTAAATAGTAAGTTAGCAATAGTAGTCATCAAAAGACATTTTATGTGTTTGCTACTTTTGACCAAAACTCATTGCTGTCAAGATGGAAGGGACTCATAGCTGACCCTCTAGAAGATTTTCTGAGGATGTAAATTGCAATGAAGGGGATTGTTCCTTTCTCCTGAGGAGTCCCTACTGGATTTGAACCGCCAGCGAGGCACCATTCCTGGATTAGCAGGGCAACTCCCTATGGACTACCCACCAGAGCTCCCCTATAACCAGACACTTGATAAATAGTAGTATGAGTTTTCATTAATAAGCATGCTATCACATACTTTTGTTGAAATTCTTTCTCCCGCTTCAGATCTTCATTTTGTTTCAGTATCCTTTTTTCCCAAACTTCCTTTACAGCATTGACAGCACCAGTACAAACGGCATTTTCTGTCATGATTTCTCCACATTGCCACAGTCACCAACTTTATTAAGGTCTGAATGGCTGGGTCACAGACGTCATCTCAAAAAGAACCTAATTATAACAGAAAAAGAAGCGTGGGGTTCAGAATGTCTGCTGATGTAATAATCCTATCAGCTAATATTTATTGAGCACTTTTCTGTATTCTCAAAACTGTTTAAGGAATCTGCCTGTCATAGCTCATTTAATAATCCTCATAACCATACTACAATGTGGACACTTTCATTGGCTCTAGTTTGAGGATGAGAAAAAGGACCCTTACGGTAGATGGCAGTTTGCTCAAAGTCTCATATTTAATGTGTAGCAGAGTGGGACTTGATGCCAAGACTTCTTTGTTACTGATATAATTCACAGTAATGAAAATAGCAACAAGGTGAAAGAGCAAATTCTGGAAAATGATTGACATATTTATGTAATCTGGATGTGCACAAGCTAGAATTCAGTTAAATGACAATGTATTTGGGTTATTTGCTTTTGTGGAAATTGAACTACAAATGGGAAGATGCAATTATTGAGGATTGTGAGTTCAGTCTCAAAAACGACAGACAAATGCATAGCCATAGTGGAATGGTAATAAAAATTTTAAAAAAATCTTCTTCCATGAAATAATTTGTGCACATTACAAATAATGGCCTTTGAGAGTCCACAATTAAGGTTGCATAGTGGAATGTACTTGGAGCAGTGGGAGGGGTGCCGGGGGATTGTGGACCAGAGAGGGAGTGTTTCTTTTACTTTTCAAAGAGAGGAGTGAACTTGGGGTGGGGGGGAGGGGAGAGAAGTGCAGCAATGAATGAATGGAAATCCAAAATCTCTGCAAATGTTCATTAAAATTATTTTAAAAATATTTAAAAAAGAAAAAAAACAAATAATGACCTTTATTTTCTTTTTATTTTTGCCAAATTAAATGAGCAGTAAACAGAGCATTTGATTCACAGCTACTTGTGTTATTATCTCCCAATTTCAGGAATACAAAAAAAATCATAGTCATCACTTTTTTGCAACGTTATGCTAGAGTGCTATAATACAAAGGATGCAAATACAAAGTTTGTTCTTGTTGTTATGTGCCATCGAATCACCTGCGACTCATAGCAAGCCTATGTACAACAGCCCTAAACTCTACTCTATCCCTTGCCAATCTTACTGTCTCCGACACACCTATCTCCATTACCCCAGTCGCTGAATCGATCCATCTTATCGAGGGTCTTCCTCTCCTGTGCTGTCCCTCCACCCTCCCAGACATGATGTCCCTCTCCAAGGACTGGTCCCTCCTTGCAACATGTCCAAATTATATCAGATGAAGCTTCAGAATTCTTGCCTCCAAGGAGCAGCCTGGACTCAACCTCTCCAGGACAAATTTGTTTTTTCTCTTAATAGTCGTATATGTAACACTTTTCTCCAGCATCACAGCTCAAAGGCATTGACTCTACTCTATATTATAGCACTTCGGTTATTTATTTATAACCAAACCACATTTCTGTCAAGACAGGAGGGACTCATCACTGACCTTCAAGCAGGTTTTCTGAAGCCATAAATCGGGATGAAGGAGAATTTCTCCTGTCTCCTGAGTTTGATGGAGTCAAACCATCAAGAGGCACAACCTTTCGTTAGCAGTGTAACTCACTGCAGACTGTGCTATCAGAGCTGGTTGTCCAATTTCTGTTGTCAACAGTACCATGTTCTCTCTGAAGATTTTCAGGGAAGCTTCTCCCTTACCTCCCAATTTCTTCCCCAGTGCAACATGTCTTGTGTTGGGGAATCTGCTGTCAAGACCCTCTCAAAGGTGGTAAGGAGCAGTGATGTCAGTTTAAAGAGTAAAGTGTGCCTGGTTCAAGTCATGATCTTTTCAATTACTTGTTATCTATCTGAAAGCTGGACAATGAATAAGGATGGCAGAAGAAGAGCCAATGCCTTTGAGTTGTGATGTTAGAGAGGAGCACTGAATATCCCGTGGACTGCCAAAAGAACAAAAAAAAGCCTTGTAATATGTTCAGTCAGGATGCTTCTTGGAGGCAAGATGACGAAGCTTCATCTCATGTAATTTAGGCATCTTAGGAGTAAGCCAGTCCTTGGAAAAGGACACACTGTTTGGAAAGATGGAAGGTGAGTGAAGGAGAGGAAGATCCCCAACAATATGGAGTGACCCAGGACTGCAGCAGAGGGCTCAAGTTCATCGGGGATGGTGAGGACAGCACAGTCCAGCACAGGGCTCGGGTCCACTGTTCAATGTTGCTGTGAATCATTGTTGACTTAATGGCATCTAACAATGACAATGACTCCCAATTTCTGGTAGTTCTGGGCATTTCTTGACTTGCAGCTTCAGCATAATTCTGTCATCACATGGCCATCTTGCATTTATGCTTCTCTTTTTCCTTCTCATCGTGTTGTTAGGTGCGGTCAAGTCAACCAGAACCCAGAGCAACCCAATGAACAAGAGTTCTGAACCTTGCCCTCTTCTACACCATCCTCACCATCTCCCACATGCTCGGCCCCGTTGTTCCAGTTACTGAGTCAGTCCGTCTTACTAAGAGTCTTCTTCTTTTGCTCTGACCCTCTACCTTTCCCAGGGTGCTCTGGTGGATTAGTGGGAAGGAATTGCACTGCCAGCCTAAAGGTAAGCAGTTCAAATCCACAAGAGAAGGATGGACTATCTACTCCCATGTGAATTTACTGTCTCTGAAAACCCACTGGAGGGTCGGCTAGGGGTTGGCTCTAATTTAATGGTACACAACAAACAACAACTATCTTTCCCAGCATCATGTCTTTTTCTCAAGACCTTTTTACAACACGCCCAAAGTACATGAGAAGCTTTACTATACTTGCCTCTAAGGAGCACCTTCGTTGCAGTTCCTCCAAGATAAACTTGTGTGTTCTTTTGGCAGACCATGGGATACTCATTACTCTTCCTTAAGACCATAATTTAAACAATATCTTTTAAAATACTAGCAGGGTTACTCTTGTTCATAGGACACGACTTACATTGGATTAGGGCCTACTCTGCTCCAATGTGAACACTTGCTAACACACATGATCCTTAAAGACTGTTTCTAAACTTGGCCATCTTAAAAACACAAGGATTAGAACGTCAACATATATTTGAGTGAACACATTTTGTTCATAACAATATCTAAAAACAAACAAACAAAAAACAATCTTCATTGCCTTTTAGTCAGAACGGGCTCTTGGTTAACCCAATGGAGACAGGATTTCCAAGTCTATAAGTCACATACAGGAGGAGATTGCCAATCTTTCTCCCTCTGAATCACTGGTGGATTCGAATCACCAGAAAGTAGCACCTTTTGAGTTAACAGTGCAACTCCCTGTAGACTAGGGTGTCAGAGCTCACTTAGCAACATCTAAGGATAGAATTTCTAGATCACAGGGTTTTGTGAATATTAAAACAAAGTAGTGTCTAGCACTCTATAAGAGTCTCATGGTGCATGTACTCTTAGCAAATTATAAACAGGAGGTAATTTCTTTAACCTGGTATAAAAGTATGTTTACTCATAATGAATTAATGGAAACCCTAAGTCTCTGTAAACTTTCATTAAAATGAATTTAAAAATTAATTAGAAAAAATATGTTTACTCAAAACCTACAGCAAATATTTTAATAGTGAATCAATAGCTAATAGTTAAACATTCAAAGCTTTGCCTTTGAATTGGGAAAATATCTTCTCTATTTCCATTAACATTGAACAAGAAGTCCTATCCATTGCAAGAAGTTTTTTTAAAAAGGCATTTAAAAAAATGAAAGGAGAAAAGTTTAAAAACATTTTTAACAGGTACAAATATTAATTAGAAAATCCAAGACGACCTACAGACAATAATAGCACAGCATGAATAGAGTTTTGAAAAATTTATGGAAACAAAGTGAGTATTAAAAAGTATGCATTTGCATATTAAAAAGCTGGTATTAATTTATTAAAAATATTTTGTTATTAATACCATAAAATCAAGTTCTTATGAGTAAACAGAATGTATAAGACCTCTACAAAGAAAACTAGAAATCAGTTAAATATAAAAAAATCTTAATTCAAGGAAGCTCTAGTGGCCTTGTGGCAAGAAGTTGCACTGCAATACTGAAGGTGCACGGTTTGAAACCACCAGATACTCTGCTGGAGAAGGAGGGGTAACTTCCTCCTGTGCTAGTCGGATCCAGTTTGACAGTACACAATAAGAAAATAAATAAATAAAATCATAATTCAGAAAAATACATCATCTTTATTATTATAAGACTCAGTATTGTAAATACGTAAATTATCTCATCAATCCTAGTAAAATCTTATGGGCATGCTTTGGTGGCATGCTTTGGGTGACGGAAACTGGCAAGAGGATTCATATATTTAATAACCATTCAGTAGGCGCAAAACGTGTGTTTAGAAGAAAACTAAAGTGAGATGATTTATTGCAGGTCTATTGGAATCTATTTTTAAGCTATAGAAATAGATTGTGTTAAATTGACACAAGAATAGACAAACATTCAAGCAACTGAGTAAGGAACTTGAAAAACATACATATATACCTGAGCACTGCAGATATTGAAGGAATAATAAAAAAAAGCTAGAACAGTTGATTATCCATTTACAACTAAAATTAATTCCAAAAAGTGAAGGCAGAAAAAAAAATAAATAAAACTTGTTGTTGTTCATTGCTATGGAATCAGAACTGCCTCAGAGCTGACCCTCCAGCAGGTTTTCAGAGGCTCTAAATCCCACAGGAGGGGATTCCCCATTTTTTTTTTAAATTTAGGTTGTTTATTTTTCATTTCAATGAACATCCACAGAGATTTTGGAATTCCATTCATTCATTGTTGCACCCTTCTCCCCGCACAAACCCCGTCCCCCCTCCCCCCCCATTTGCTCCTCTCCTTGAAAAGCAAAAGAAAAACTCCCTCATTGGTACACAATCCCCCCCCACCCTGCACTTCCCATTCCCCATTTTTATCTTAAGGAGAAACTAGCGAATTTGAACTACTTG